GCCTGCCCAGCTATGGAGGCAAGGTGCATCTTGTCGTTCTTGTTACCACCTCGCCAGTGCCGTATCTGCCCTCTGTGTTTAGGTGAGTTTCTTTGAATCCCACAGACATAACTTTCTGTTTGCCTCCACAGCACTCAGTTCACACTGTGGCCCCGCAATCTATAGGGTCTTGGTACTCATGGACTAACAGCTACGGTCAGGAGGAGAGCCTCAAGGGGACAACACATGGTGGACAGATTAAAGGACAGGGATATGATTATTACAAAATCAAAAGAGTAGAAAAATCTCCCTTAATTAAAGGGATATTAACAACAGCCAGAATTAGCACAGTTTATAAATAGAAAACAAAAATACTTCACATAGTTGAAAAGGTTTATATACTTTTTTTTTAAAACCAGTTAAGAGTTCTCACCTTCAGTTACAGGAATCATAAAAAGTGCCACCAAAATCCAGCCAACTATGTGAGCATTGTGATAGAGTAGTCTTTTAATGACTCCCACCAACGTACGCAGGAGTGCATAGGCAGGAGGTAAAGACAGCCCCAACTAAAATGACTCAAAATAGACAGTAGTTCATTAATCTTGGATGAATCTGCCCAGTGCACAACAGTTAACAGAAGCTTTTGTGACAATTATTATGGCAACGTTAATGACTATAAGATAGAGCCTCATTAAGACTCAATTTAGACCCCTTCAATGACAATAATGACTCTTTGCCATCCTGCTGCAGTTGATGATCTGGCCTCCTCAGTGAGCAGAGCACCGATTTTTATCCACCATCTTTAAGACAGCACATTTGGCACCAGAGCGTCTTGGAAACCATGCCGGCATGGCAATCAGTGCTACTTCATATAATATGCAAAAATCACCCAGAAACCTCTTGAAGGGTTAACGAGGCAAATGTTTGTACAGTTAATAATATTATCCTCATCAAAACATACTTCTTCTGTCACATATTTCTTTACTGTAACTAAAGCTATACTCCAGCCCTCCCCACTAATCCTAAGCAATGCTGAGCCGTCACATTCCTCCCGCATTGTTTAGAGCAAACGTTTACTCCAAGGCCTAAGTGTTCTCAAAAAGAGAGTGAGAAAATGGCATCTGGGTTATGTATATATTTTTACCACAGATCATTAATGCAGGACTTGGCTATGCATCCAGTTCTTTATTCAAATGGGAACCAAAGTCTAAAGCAGATGCCAAGCTCGGGAGAATGCTACCACGTGGAAGGAGATACTAGTTTGCTCTCTGCAAGATCCATTCATCTATATGAAAACTGTCAGTTCATGGTTTTATGGGATTTTCCACATATGTCAGAGACATCAGTTTAGAGTGGGCTTTTTAATCCTACCCCTGTATCTAGGCATGCTTGTGTTTATGTGTATACATTTTAGAAACATCAAGTTGTGAGACAACCTTTTGCTAATTGACTTTTACTGGTAGAAATTTCTCCTGTTTAATAATATTTTTTCTACTTTGCATCATTGCAGTTGTGTCTGTCTTTACTGGCTGACTTCTCCCTCCCTCTTGTTTATTTTGCTGTGAGTTATTAAGGGACTGCTCCATGTGAAACAAGAGGAAATACCAGTACTTTTTCATCTCTGCATTTTAAGTCTGTTCTGTTACATGTTTTGGGAGACACACATAAAGTAGGAGACAGGTGACAGAGTAGAAATTGGAGAATGTGTTGCTATACTGTGCCTTATCTTAATTAGTGAATGACCATTTCCCCAGTCGGAATATTTTATCTAAAAGTAAATAGTCTTCCATTGATGTAGTTATCTGAACACAGTATTATTTTAATGTACTCTTTCCAGTGCCTCTGTGAGGTAGTTATTAGTGGTTATTATAGATAAAACATCATTATATTATCATCGTCATCTTTATGATATAGATAACAAATACAAAGAGGGAAAGGTCCATATCCTGTGTAAAGTGACATCTTAGGAAGATTTTTAGACACCAAAGATCAAAAAATCATTATTTTATCTCTTATGTTACCCTATGTATATAATACCATAGAAGTTCCATTTTTAAAAGTGGAGGTCTGTACCTCAGTAAACCCAGATGTGATTTGATACCATACGGGCTAAGAAATCATTTTTCTGTCAAATGCCTACAAGTGATCGGGAATATCTAATGAAGTGTTCCTCCAGCCACAATGCACTGAGGGGTATCTGATCCAATATGTGTACTCACAGAATATCCTTTACATGATTATGCGCGAAGCATACTGTTGGTTATTGCATTCATTAACACAAAGAAATGGCTGTAACAGGGTTCTTCTATTCAGGAATTTAATACCTAGAGTGTTTGCAGGCTTCCAGATTCTATTCTCACTTCGGCTGAGCAAGTTCAAACCCACACATCCTACTTTCCAGCCTAAGCTGTAGATTACTTGGCAGAGTATCTGCCTCTGCTCCTCCTAAGAGTCACAATTTTCAAAGAACTTGAGAACCGTCATGACTTATTACTCCAGTGGTTAGGGAAGTCCCTTGGGAGTTGGTGACATGGTTGACAGATCTTTCCCCAAGGTTAGTTTATATATTCTAATTGAAGGATGTTTCATGTACATAATTGGTTTTAATCTGATAGAGCAAATCGCCAATAACATTCCCAAACACTGTGTTTTGTTGGTTTCAGATTACTGATGGTTTCTCAGTTTTTAGCCGTTAAGGTCACTCTCCCATGCGAAGCTCCTGCCCTCAACAGCATCACATCATTGGCATGCAGTGAGGCTGCTGGACAGCCTGCAATGCACAAATACTATACAGAGGGGGGAATGTTGTAGGGAGGGTGAGGGAGAGAGGTCATATGGCAAAACTGGGATGAAGAATAAGGAAAGATTCATTTAGGAACAAATGACAACGATGTTTAAACAAAAAATCGCAGTATATTCAGCAGGGGACCTAGGGTGGGGTCCCTTGGGAAAATGAGGGTGTCACTTCATAAATCGTAGTGTCGTAGTGTCAAATGAGATCCTTCGGTACACAGACAAGCTGAATTCTGCAATTTCTGTTTAAGTGCTTGCCTTTGCAACCAAACAACATTTATTTTAATAGTACTTAGGCATAAATAAAGACGAAAGGAGTAAGAATGTAAACGCAGCATACCGATTTGGGCCCATTTCTCTTTACAAGTGGCTCAGCCTAAGGCATTTGAGCCTCTGCCTCATGTTTGCCCAAGTTTCAGGCAGCATACTGGCTTTGTTTGTTCTTTTAAAGAGGGTTACAAAGAGCAAACTAATAAGTTTTGCACTAAAATTTAAAGTAATTGGCTTAGAAGACCACTGATGACATAATTATTAAATGTGCAGCTAAGTGCTACGTAAACTATTCCTGCACTGGAGAGTGTGAGAAGGGCTAAATAAAATGAGCACAAGAGAAATCTTAAATAGGGGTAGATAGAAGAGGAAATTCTCATTAATTCAAAATCACTGCCTCAAAGCCAGTGAGTCTAAGTTGTGTAAGTACTATTTCAAATACTTTCAAAAAAGATCTTATTGTAGATGACTGGGTCACTATCACTCTCCAAAGCAAGAGAAAACTTGCTAGCTAATTTGAGAACACATATTTTCTTTCTGTGTGGCTAGATTTTTGGCATACCATAGCTCAGCCCTGTTTGGAGCCTTGTAAAAATCAGTTATCTGAGCCTATCAGTAGCCAAACAGGGCACTTCGAACATTCCCGCTGGAGCTGCCAGCGAAATAACGTCTCCCCAAGGATTAACAACTTCTCAGCTAAAAAGAAAGTGAGCCTGTGTTACCGCAGCATAATGGCCTTCATCTGTAACCTAGATCTTGGCTGGTTTCTTTCAAACGTTTTTTCACTATGCTATCAGGAAAAAAAAAACCACATAACTCGCAGGGAACTTCACAGTATCAAATGGTGCCAGTAGGAACCCACTGTCCCTTCCTGAGCCCCTTCAAAGAAAGCCTGAGAAAAAGGAAAGGATCTCAAAAATCTTTCTTGGAGAGACCTATGGGGCAGTACAGAGAGCAGGGGACAAGCACTGCTCCCTCATAAGGGAACAGTTAGAAGAGGAGCATCCCTGTGTGCTTTGCTGCACTGATGTATGGATCTAGGGGACTGGAGGGGCTACTGTCACTGCAGTTTCTGATCACTCAGCCTTTAATAGCAAGGGACCAGGAGCTACTGTGGGGTGTCACATAGCAGCCCAAAGCACTGACCACTGCCTGCAAAACATCAGTGTCTCATCCTGACTTCTGGGAGGGGCTGGATCTAAAATCAAACCAGGGAAGGTCACCTTAATAGCCTCTGACTGCCAGTTTGTTCTGTGCCGAAGGGAACGAGGCATTTGCATCTCCCACAAGCACTTAGAACTTTCTGACTAAAATACGATACAGCTTCTCCTGCT